GCTGTGAAGAACCTTTTAAGCACCTTTATTTTTAAGAGTGTACAGAGAAATATGGGAAAGCACACCAGAATTACTGACAAAATATGCAAACATGTTAACTTAAATTCTTATTCAACCTAAGAGGACAAGGCTAACATTATGTGCCCTTTTTCACATCCTCAAATTCAATCTGAAAGGACAAGGCTGACAATGTAACCTTCTATGACGGAATCAAACTCTACCAACACAATATAGCCCTGTGACAAAGTCAGAAGGACCCTGCTAGCATAACTACACTACAAAAACATTTTAAAGTCATGAGAAGGTTATGATAACACATTTACACTATTCCCTTAAAGGACTAGTTCACCCAAAAATGTCAGTTTGCTGAAAATATACTCACCCTCAGGCCATTCAAAATGTGAATGGGTTGGTTTCTTCATCAGAACAGATTTGGAGAAATTTAGCATTACATGACTTGCTCACCAATGAATCCTCTGCAGTGAATGGGTGCCATCAGAATGAGAGTCCAAACAGCTGATAAAAATCCACACGTAATCCAAATAACTCCATCCTCAACTCCATCCATACTCTGTCCATCTACTCTGTCTTGTAAAGTGAAAAGCTACATGTTTGTAATAATCAAATTAATCATTAAGATGTTTTTAACTTTAAACTGTTGCTTCTGCCTAAAATGTGAGTCCTCTATCCATAATATTGGTTTCTCCAGTAAAAAAGTCGCTTTGTCTGAACCAGGAGAGAGATATGCACAGATCAAGGACTGTTTACAAGCGAAAATAGCCAACATATAGTTGGTGGATTTTGATGTGAGAGGACAACAGGGGATGGACTTTTTCACTTTTCATGGAGGAAACATTATTATGGATTATGGACTGATATTTTGGCCAAGTTTTTGAAATTTTTTCTTACAAACATCTTTTTACTTCACAAAATGTTAACTGAGGGACTGGAGTCATGTGAATTACTTGTGGGTTACTATGATGTTTTTATCAGTTTGGACTCTGACAGCATCATTCACTTGCATATATGTGAGCAAGTGATGTAATGCTAAATTTCTCCAAATCTGTTCCAATGAAGAAACAAACTCATTTGCATCATGGATGGCCTGAAGGTTTTCAGCAAATTTTAATTTTGGAGGGAAATATTCCTTTAATATATTTTGCATTATGCAAGGTTTTTTATTATGTTCGTTTTTATGCAGCATTTTTTATGTTTTCATAATGTTGCAAAAACGTAGCAGGTTGCATATCGTTAAATTTTGATCTTGGTTGCATTTGCATATCTTAGTTGTGTTTTCTTGAACATATTTAAAATGTTTCAATTCACATGTACAATCCACACAAGCATGCATAGCACACATACTGTCCCAGTAACTCGGTCTGAACCACTGCAGGAATGGGGTCACTCCTATACTTAACTAAATTATTAACCAAATCAGAAACGAGAGCGAGAGAGAGAAATAAAGCGAGGAAAAGAGAGAGATGTCAGTTTGCATCCAGCCCTGTACTATACCATGCCTTAAAATCCACATAAAAAATTCAGCATTCTCCAACAGGGTTGCGATTTCAAAACATATCCCTCACACATGCAAAACAATTTTTCTACCCTTTTGGACCAAGACCTTAGGGCCAAAACAATGGGTGAGAAGACCTCCAGAAAGACAATATGGAGGCTGCTGGAGTTTCCTGGAAAGTCTGCCTGAGACCTAACAGAAGGCTGGATAGGTGTATTGATTTATGGAGGAGGGTTTGAACTACTGCAGAGAATGCTACTGAATATTCTCATGTCAGCACAAGCTCTCTGGTGTTCAGAGCATGAAACATCAAGGTTACCAGCATACAGGAAATATAGGGGAAATGCAGACTTAGATAAAACCTAAAGGAGAGGTTTCATATTTTCATATTACCTTGGATTCAGCTGTAGAACTGGGAAGTCTGAATCATTTTAGGGATTCTGTTCATTCAGATGCCCATTTCAAATAATTGGTGGGGAAAATATCACTTATTCATTTCTGTGAAACACAAAAGAAGATATTTTGAAGAATGTTACAACTGTTTATGCCCATATAACGAAAGTCATTGTGGGGGTTTTTTCCCCCCAAAAAATATATTTTGTGTTCCACAGAATAAAGAAATGCATACATGTTTGAAACAGCATGTGAGAACATTTTTTGGTGTTTTTTTTTTCCGTTAAAGCTGAAATTTGTAACTTTTGCACCACTAGCATTACCAAACATACTGTAATTGCAAAAATATTGTTTTTTTACCACACTCCCTCCATTTGGCATTGGTTGGTCAAACAGAAGTTCTGCCCCAAACTTGGTAAAGTTAATGTTAATATATCAAGCAGAAATTTGTGTTGATTGTGCCACAGTTCCACACTTTTTACACTTTTTTAGTGAAATCAATTAACAAATCACTGCATTGTGTTTGTATACTAAACTGGCATTGGAGAAAGTATTAAGCATTAAGTCACTGCAGTCTCAAACGCAACATCCACTGTAGCAGATCACATGATCTTCCATTAGTAGACATCACTGCCACTTTGCATGAAGTTAATCAAGCACTTTGCTCAAATCTGTTGCATTGCCAACAGCGACATGTCAATTCAAACCTCACTAAAATTAAATCACATTTGTAGCTGCAATATCAAGTGCGAATTCCCCTTTAGTGATTTACACTTTAACGTCACATTTAAGAGTCATTCTAGATGACAGATGTAAGACTTCAGTAGAGTCCACCGCTGGTCATATCAACCCAGTGGTCTTTCATTCTTTTTTTTCTTTCATGTTTTGTTTCCTTGTATGGCCATGTTTTTTAAATATGGAAATTAAGTTTCCTGTACTGCTTAGTATTGCAAAATAGTCTAAAAACCAACATGAAAAAGAATGGTGAGGAAATTGTGGATCGTGATCTTGCCTGAAAAAAGCTGTGATAGGATATTCTTGCCATATTGCCCACCCCTACCAAGCATGCACATGAATGAACATATACAGTATGCACTACAAACACAAATGTTTGTAGACAAAAACACAAATGCAAACAGGCTACCTGTATGCATCTGTACATACAGATAACCCTTCCCTGCTGTGCAGTCTCCCTTTCTGAGCAGAATCCAGGCCAGCACAGCTGTTATTATTAGCCTGACATCACAGCTCTGCCAGCTCCAACACCCACAGCTATCACAAACTACTTACCTCTATCAGCACTGTGAGTGCTTGTGTGGGAGTTTAACTGCTAACACAACCATTTGATTACAATTAAACCTCAAAACAGAGGCAGTTCTGATCACTGAACTGTACAGAAATGTGATAGACACAGTTTGGTGCACAGACTCCATAACATTGACAAAGGTTAGTAGAATTGTAGAAACTAATTAAATTTCTGTTGACTGTTGGATGTTTGAGAGTGATTTGCATTAATTATGATGTATTTATTCAACAAATTAAGATAACTTTTAAAGAATGCTGAATTGAGACCATCTCAAAAGATGGCTACTGCTTTCAGTCCCTGATGCAATTCATGGCAGGTTAACTAATTTCACAAAGAGGAGCTGCTTATTTTATTTCTATATGGAGATGACAGAATGAGGCACATATTAAAACTATTATAAACTATGCACATAACCTAAGAGGTCTTTCTTCAGTGTTCAGTGCAAATGAAAACTTTAACTGGACTAACTTGCAATCCTGTGTGAAAGTGATATGACAATATAACAGAAATTTAACCCTGTATTCTTTGTACGGTAGCGGTATTTATAGGCCAAGGAAGTAAGTAGATTTAAATCAAATTGTCAAGTTAAATTCATTTGTTTAGCACTTTTGACAATACACATTGTTTTTCAAAGCATATTCAAAATAAATCGTAATGTGTATAATATCTTAATGTCTTCATGCCTCATAGTAACATTTAATAGATTAGAGCTGGGCGATAATATAGATTATGCTTTTTGACGAAACAAGCAATCAAGTGGTTGAGATATGCTATACAGTAAATATATATATAGTAAATTCAGTTGATACTTACTCTTTTACCATCAGATTTTCCCCCCTTTAAAAGTATGAATTATTTTAAAAATCAAAAAGAGCTTCTGTTTACTGTATTTGATGCTCTATGCATGCGTGTTGATGAATGTTTATATGTGAACAAAAGTCTAAATTAAATGTTCATCAAATAAAGAGACGTCTCTTCAGAAGACTTCTCAATTCATATGGATTTTTTACAATCTTTATAAATCGCGCGAGTATACTTCAGTGTACGCAGATAAAGCTGAACATGTAAAGAATTGTGATTAATCTCATTTTTGATTAATCTAACAGAATAGAATTTGCTGGAAATTTCCAGTATATTTAGAGAAAGATCAAATATACATCTATCTAATTAAAAAACTTAACTTAGCATGTTCTAATTGCGTGAAGCTAATGCAAAAGCAACACTATTTCCTTATAATGGTATGTAGATAACATGTAGAATGGAGGAGTGCATTATGGTCGGTTATATGATATAGTCTCTTTCACATGGTCATTTATGGGAGGGTGAATGTATTGATTTAGCCTCAGATGTGCAGATGGCAGACATACACACACAAACATGCATATGCACACACACACACAGCTCCTCAGCCCTGTTATGATGACATTCAGAGCACAATACCAACCCAGCGTAATCTCTGACTCACACAGCACCCATTCAGCCATAAAGGGCAACATCTGTGTGTTTGCATGTGTGTGTGTTTATGTCAGATTGCTGAGTCTTACCTCCCCGTAGTTGGTGGTAAGCACCAGGGTTCCATCTCCACAGGAGTTCACTGTAGACGGGACCAGCTGATCTTTATGATTCACCCACACTCGAGAACCCTGCAAAACACACACAAAAGCAGTCAGACACAAACCAGCACAATCCCAGATTATTATATGTTCCAGTTGCTTGTAAGAGCCACAGAACAATAAAACACATCAATAAAACACAAAATCTTCATGTAGTCATTCACTGTTGAAATGTATGACTTTCAGGATGACCTGTGGGTGGCTTTTCATTTCTAAACACTCACAGATGCCCACACACAAAGCTTAGACATGTCTTTGTGCACAAAAGTCTGATTCAAGCCTAAAAAGTGTCGTTTAGCCTTTTATTATTCCAAAGCAGTGAAGTAAAGGCCAAACTGATACCCTCAGAGCACATTAAAAAGTAGGATGTATAAAGGAAAAAGTATAAAAAGACACAAGCACAGTCTTCCCCAAAAAACAACTGGGTGATTTTTACAGGATCATAGTATTACAATATCAATCCTGTTAAAATAAATCATTTTAAAAATCAAAAAGATTTATATAAAAAAATCTGTCATAATGTGACTTAAAAAACTGTAAAAAGTCTATATTGTTTTACCATTACCAAACTGTTGTTTTGTTATGTTTGTCATTAGGGTCTTTTCTACTTCAAAATGTCATGTTTCATTCAATGTGTTACTTCACTTGCCACTTCTTTGTAATTATTTATGAAATGTACTTGCAATTTCTGGGTGAAAATTGTTTAATTGTTGAAAGTAAATTCAACCCGATTTCATGGCAATTCGTACATATTTTACTAGGTGGCTGATTCGCATGAATTTGTACGACCTCACTCATATGAATTTGTACGTTTTGTGAAAAATCGTACGTACACTGAAAAAAATTATTCATTAAATTTACTAAATTTTTTTAAGGTAAGTGGTTGCAATCAATTTATTTTAGCTACATTTAAATAAACAATTTTTGCTGAAAGTTAGTCAACTAAATTTGTTGATTTAAATGTAGCTAAAATAAATTGGCTACATTTAAATAAATTTATTTGACTAACTTTCAACATGTTTTTTTTTTTTAAATGTAGCAAAAAACATTTTTTTTGTAAAAAAAAATGTATTTACTGAAAAAGTATCATTTTTTTCAGTGTATTTTACGAGGTGCCAAATTCGTAGGAATTCATGCAAATGACCATCCCGAACCCCACCCCTAAACCTCAAACAAAATCGTATACGAGTGAAGTCGTACAAATTCTTACAAATTAGCCACCTCATAAAATACGTAAGAATTGGTTGTGAGATAGCACTGTTAAATTCTACACCAATTTCTTTAAGTGTACATTATATTCTGACATTATTTTCAATTAAGCTGAAATTACACAAGGCAATTTATTTACACTTAAAACACATGCATAACTATAAGGAAATGTTTAAAACCTTACAACAATTATACTTCAAAGATGATCTCGCCATCAGATTGGACAAGGCACATGTTTAATAGAATGACCCAACAACATTTCTCACATAATATTACAGAATTAAATAATCACTTACAAAGAAAATACAAATGAAGTATGAAAGGTTTTCAGACTAAGCAGATTTTTTACTTTTTACTTTACTAAATTTCCCCACTTTATAATTTGTAAATGCAATAACACACAGTGAGCAATGATATCATTTCGGATGTGTCCTCCTGCTCTTCTCCACAGTAAAGTGCTGTTCTTTGTGTGAGCACCGGACTGAATTATGGCCAGCTGTATGAAGTTAACTACTAATAATTGGGAAACGGATCGATAAGCCCTTAGCTTCAAAGAGGAAACTCAATACACAATCACCAGCTTCAACAACAAAAAAAAAAATCACACATTACATTCAAAGCATTAAATGGCCCAGAAGAAACATCCATTTACATTTACATTATTATTTTGTGACAAAATTTCCCAATACTCACAGTATATGAGGTAAACTATCACAATGGTAACCTGACAGAATTCACAAATATTATTCTACTGTAATTAAAGAGGATTTTGAAAAAGTAGGCTATTTGAAACCAACATAGAAATCCACTGCTAGACAACACAAGCATGTAATTGGAATTTTGACTCATTGGACATACATAAACTCACGCCTGCCCACAAACAAACAGAGAATAATGTGTGAATCCACCCCAAACCTCAAACTAGACAATGAGTGTGTAAGTTTCCCAGACATGGACATTCGCCATACTGATTTTGAAGCGGATGACCTCCTCTTCGACACATGCATTTCTGGACAATAAACAGGCAAACAGACAGGCAGACCGAGAGACAGACTGACAAACAGATAGAAGCTGTTCTTTGTCAACAGATGGTTGACTATGACGAGCCGTCCCACCTCCAGTCAGAGGAACTACAGTGGTGAAGACAAAAGACAGGCTGCTCTGCCCCTGGGTAAAGAAACCAAGCCAGGCAGAAAAACACTTACAACAGACAGCTGAGCTACATACACTTACACATTTCATTTCCATTAGAAGACATTAAAAAGATTTCCCTGCTCTTTTGAGGAAAAATCATTCGGACACAACACAAAACTCCCTCCACAGCCTATCCAGACTTTATTGAAACAATAATGGGTTATTCAGAAATGAAATTATCACAGCCAGCACAAATATTAATGGCTATTCACAGAGGCTAATATAAGATCATTTACACATTGTATGCACAGTATCAAAAACAGCAATTGGTCTTGTGTCTTAGTCGTGGAAGAAACTATGACAAGCGGAACAGCAGTAAAAACAGATACAGGGCTTACAATTTGTGGAAAATTGTAATTTCGATTTTTCTGCATAAATTATGATTGTGATTATATATCAATATTACTATAAATATAATAACAATAATAACTATTATTATTATTAAAAATTAGTATTTAAGAAAAATATGATATTAATTATGGCTTATTTTCCTAACGTTTAAAAATGAACCCATTGAGCTTTTATTTTGGGAAAAAACCGTTTGCCGAGTTCACACTGCATGATTTTAACCCCGATTTTCACTCGCCGACAGGTTTCGCGAAAACGCCAACAAATGCCTATGCCTAAAACCAGAGGCAAATCGGTGCTCGTTCACATGAATGACAATCACGCCGTGTGAATTATCAAAGACGCGATCTGAGAGAATTGCAGACGCCCGTGAAACATTTAGCATGCTAAACATCTGGACCTCTCAGCGATTCAAAATCCTGCTGTGTGAAATGAGCTCTGACTAAAAGATACATTGGCGATGGCATACTGCCAATGAGAGGGCAAGATACAGGACAGTGGGAAGTTCAGGGAGGAGTTATATGAAAAGTAGTTTGCGGACCAGACAGAGTTGTCGGCGATTCTTCCTGTTGTCATGCAATGTGTAACCTCCTGTCGCCGATCCATTGTGCAATGTGAACGCAGCAGCAACTGAATGCTACCCCAGATAGTCGTGCAGTGTGAAAACAATGGTGATCCGATGACTTTGAAAATCGTGCAGTGTGAACTCAGCAAAAGGAGCCTATAAAGCTTCTCGTTTGTTGACTACAGCCTGTTTATAAGCGCTTCTAATTACAAGTTTGGGACGATGGTTGGTGCATGTTGTATCCTAAATGCACAAGGAACCAAAACTCAAAGCAGATGCAGGGATGATTTCTTATGCAACAGCATTTACTGCTGCTCGAAACTTGGATGATGAGCTACATGCGAGTAAATGAACACAGTGCCACACTCACTGAAACACGGATCACATGTATTTATAAATCAGTCTTTGCCATTTAAAATTGCACTCAGCCATATCGTGATTTCGGTTTTATTTCACTTAATCGTGCAGCTTTTTGTCACTGTGTGTATTGTGTGCATGGGAAGAAGTTCAGAAATTAAAAATGACTTGATGTTTGACTTGTCTTTCTCTCAAGCGTTCTTCATGTTCTTATTAGAAACTACTGGCTTTACACAGCCGCAGATAGCATCTCTACCAGGATGAAGAGTTGCTACAGTAATTAGCACAGATGCAGAGGCTGTTGGTTTGTGCCCCGATCTGAGCGAACAAATCATTAATGAGAGCTCAGGCCCTATGGAGAGCAGGAGTGTGTAATCATGCATGAACACAACAGAGATGAAAGAATTCAACATCTTCATCAACAGATAACTGCTGTTGCTCTTGCACAGCTGTCAGTAGAAAACCGCTACATCCACTGAAAAATATGAGACATCCAACCACACACATAGGTGGAGGAATAATGAGAGCATGCTCTTAGTGGGGGAGGGTATGCAAGAGGGTCTATATAAAAGATGCAGCCACTGAGGAATCAGCAACATAATGACCTGGCCATATATAGGGCTGCACGATTAATCAAAAATTAAAAAATATATATATATATATATTATTATAAAATGTTTCTTTAACACTTTAATATTTATATTTTATAATTTAGGTAAAAATAACAATTACTATTATTATTTAGTTATTTATTATTGTTATTATTATTATTATTTTATAGCCATACTGATACATGATTAAAAAATTTGCCCAAATTGTTTAGCCCTACCAACAAGCACAGCAAATCTGGGCTTGTTCAATTGCATTAAATACTGCAGTCACACTATGTAAACCACAGCACACAGACTCACTGAACCCTTCAAATAACTTTTATGGAACGTCTGCACAACCTTGAAAACCACTGGCTTTCAAAATCTCCCTGCACAGATACTTGCCATTATTAACCTTCATCTAATGACCAGTGTAATTCATCACCAGACAGCTTCTCAACCTCTCATCACCCACTAGTGAGGGATTTACCAATTCCAGCAGACAATAACATGACAATGAGAAGAAGGAGTGTGTGTGGAACAGTGCCTGAATGATTCTTTGAGGATTAATAAAGCATTAGGGAAGTGGCACACTTGGCAACGTGTTTAAAATGCAGAATAGAAGCATATGTGTGGGTATTATGAATCAAGCATGATACAGCTGGACAAGGAGACATGGAGAGAGAAATGGCAAAAGAAAGAAGGAGAGTATTGACTGTAAATGGAAAACAACCCCACTGGCCCAGGGAAAATGCTGCATCCCATCA